GTTGAAAAGATTCTCTTTCCTCCAGTGTGTATTTATGTGTGTGTGTGTGTGTGTGTGTGTGTGTGTGTGTGTGTGTGTGTGTGTCTGGTTTTTTGTGCAAGTACCATGCAATTGTTTCTTTTATTAATAGAGCTGTGGAGTACAACTTAAGATCAGATATATAATAATGCCTAAAACATTGTTCTTTTGACTCAAGATTACTTTGGCTATCTGGGGATCTTTAGTATTTCCATGTGAGTTTAAGATTGTTATTTCTATTCTATGATAACTAGTATGGAGACTTTTATTGGGATTTCAATGAATATATACATCGTTTGGGGCAAGATGGCCATTTTTCACAGTATCATTTATATTCATCTATGAGTATGAGAGGTCTTTCCATCTTTTAGTATCTTCCTTAATTTCTTATTTCTCAGTTTTAAAGTTTTCATCATAGAGATCTTTTACTAACTTGATTAGATTTACCATAAGGTATTTTTTGATCTATTGTAAATGATATTGTTTCCTTGATTTCCTTATCATTGAGTTTACCATTGGTATATAGAAAAGCCACATCTAGTAATTTTGTATACTGCAGCTTTGCTGAGTTTCTCAATTCTAGGAGTTTTCTTTATCTCTGAGATAAAGCCAACCTGACCATGGTTTGATCTTTTTGTATTTGTGTCTGTATTTCATTTTCATGTACTGTCTTGTGTGTTCATCAGGGACATTGACATGTAACTCTCCTTTGTTGTGTCTTCACATAGTTTGGGCACAACAGTTAAGACTGGCTTTGTAAAAGGAGCTTGGAAGTTTTCTTTCTGTTTTTATTTTTTGGAATTTTTGAGGAGTGGTTGTAATTCTTGAACCCTTGTGTGTGTGTTTATTAGAACCCTTTATTCTTTTGAGTTCCATGTCTTGAGTTTTGTCTGAGTTATGCTTGTTAGAGACCATTACTATAAGATTGGTAGTTTGTTGGGGGACATATTTTCTAGTATTTTCATATTGCTTATGTTTTTGCCATGGGATCTAGGCATTTGGAATTAGGTTGTTGGTTGCATCTTTGATGAGTTTTTATCCTGTTGGACCTGGGATGGGGTGGTGACTTGATTGTTAAGGGTCTCTGCAAAAAATGGAGGGATTTGTTAGGATTGTTTTTAATCTGTAGATCACTTTGGTTAATAGCTTCATTCTAATAATAGTAGTTTTTTGAGTTCATGAACATAGGATACCTTCCCACTTATCTATGTACTTTTTTTTGATTGGTGAAAGTTTACTTTGTATTTATCAGTTTGTCAGTGTTCTCTAAAAGCCAGTTTCAACAACAGCAACACAATACCTCTCCATATTTACAGATTACTTTTGTACTTAAATGTTTTTTAAGACATTGACACTTTTGCTTCAGTAAGTCAAGACACTTATACTTTCTGTTTAAACTGAGTGCACACATCAGCCAGTGGTGAAAATTTAGGACTTCTTTTATGAGCATATATACTGCTCTGGGTATCTGTAAAATTTATAAATTCCACAATACATACTAGCACTTTTGCATGCTATGGTTTCCTAAAGACATTTTCCTTTAAACTCTCTCTGACCTCAGACAGTCTACTATATGCATTTTAGCCCTAATTTTCAGCCACAAATAACTGTGGATTTCTTAGTTAGTGAGCAATATTTCCAAGCAATGCTCCTACTTTTCCAGTTGACTGGTTTTCAGCTTAGGTGAAATATACATGCAATTATTATTCAGCTGGAATCTGGAAAAGCAAAAGCAGGCAAACAAAATAATTTGTAAAATCTGCTCTTTTGTCTTTGGAACCAGAGACTAGGGTCTGACACTGGGAACTCAGCCTAGCGTCTTCCCACGGTCATCCTCTTGAGAAGTCAATATAAGCGAAAATACCACAGCATTCTAGACCATCTTATGTTGCCCTTATATTGAATCATAATTTTCTAGCTTCCTGAAAATCTTTACTTCCAAGATTCATGAAAAATAGCTTTCTGACCATTTCTGGTAATGTTCTTCTTAAGTCCCATGAGCAGGACAGGCACATGCTCCAACATTTTGTTGATATCACTGCATTCAGGATATTCTAAACCTCCCTAGCTCCTATAACTTGATTTATCTTCAATTGTGGATATCATCTACCCAATATGACCAACACAGAAAACATGGTGTTTTCTAAATGACTTCTCTCTTTTGAATCTTCTGTCTGAGAATTATTATCTTACTTACTCAGTGGCTGAAGCCAGAAGACTGTCTTTTCTCATTTCTTTGGTACTGCAGCAGCCAATTATCAGATCCCCCAAGTGCACTGCAGCCTTTTAAGAATCATTTTATCATCCACCCATCCTAAACTCACTGTTCCCAAGTTAGTTCAGGCTTCTGTAATACTTTACATCAATTATTGCCAAGTGTCCTGCCTGGGTAACTTGTGTCTCACTTCTTCCCGCTCTACTTCCTATAAGCATATGCTAAAATCACCGTTGTTTACTTCAAAAGGCCTAGGACACATGGCATTTCCTATCTTCTGTTCTTACTGTCATAAACACATTCAGAATAAAGAATTATGTGTACCTAGCTCTGGAGCATCCAGCAAGAGTTGAAAAAATGAATCTTGAATGTCTAAAAGAGACTCATAATACTACCCCCATAGTAATTTACATAGCCATAGCACAGAAGGCACAGCAATGCAGCATCCAACAGAAGATCTTTACACACAAGCATCAAGAGAGTTTGTGTGTGTGTGTGTGTGTGTGTGTGTGTGTGTGTGTGTGTGTGTACTTAGAAACTTAAAAAAAAACTGAATTCTCTTTCTTGCCTCTTTATCTCTGACTTTGAAATTCCAGCCTACATTTCTGGGTATATTTCAATATTATCTTGCCTGGTTCCTACCCATGGAATATGTATACCTCACAGTCCTGCACTGAATTATACACTAAATGGAAATCTCCAGATCAGAAATAATGCTGCTCCTGGCACAAAAGGAGGGCAAATACAGTTGTTAGGAGAAAGACTCACTCTCAACAGAAGCTATAAGCTGAGTGTAGGTCTGCTAAGAAGTCTTGCTTCTGCCATTTACTCACTTTTCATTCCATTGGATTTGCATTTGCCTGTAAGAGCATACTTAATTCAACCATAGCTTAAGCCATATATAAAATTCAGATTTCCAAAACATGAACATCCATGCCTTGATTTATAGAATTACTTTTATACATAATACTTTGATTCAGTGTTCAAATGGCCAAATAGAACATGGAACAGTGTGCTGGATAGTTTTATCTTAACTTGACACAAGCTAAAGTCATTTGAGAGGAGGGAACCTCAATTAAGAAAATGTCTCCATAAGATCAGACTTAGGCAAGTATGTAGGGCATTTTCTTAATTAGTAATTGATGGAGGAGGGCCCAGCCATTGTGGGTGGTGCCATGACCAGGATGGTGATCCAGGTTCTGTAAGAAAGCAGACTGAGAAAGCCATGAGGAGCAAGCCATTAAGCAGCACCCCTCTATGGCCTCTGCATCAGCTCCTGCCTCCAGGTTCCTGCCCTATTTGAGTTCCTGTCTTAACTTCCTTCAGTGATGGACTATGATGTGGAAGTGTAAGCCAAATAAACCCTTTCCTCTCCAAGTTGCTTTGGTCATGGTGTTTCATCACAGCAATAGAAACCCTAACTAAGACAAATAGTATGCTGTTCCATCCTGGAGGGGCGTTCCTGGAAGGTTTTCTTTACTTCACAGTTTCCTCACTTTCTTGTAGACACTGAATCTCTACATGGCCCAGGAATGTGATGACAACATTCCACACATTGATTTGTTATTGGAAATCCACAGCTAGAGACCTTAGGGTTATCATCCTTAAGGCTAGATTTAAGACCTGCTTAACAAGAAAAAAAAAATGCCTGGTACTGGAAACCTAGCTAACTGGTCAGTGCTAGAGAAGTCATGGTTATTGAAAGAGAATCTATAATCATTAATTTACTAAATCAGCATAATCCCTAACAACAGTTCTATAAACATTTGTCTTTATACCCACAGATAAGTGTAGTCTTCACCTCTCATCAAGGAAAGTTTTCTTTGCAATAAATGGGTATAAAACAAAGTGTTAAATGGTCTTATTAATAAAAACCCAGAGGTAAATATTAGGGTAAAAAGCTGAGAGATCAGAAAAGCAGAAAGAAGCCAGCCACATTCTTATCCGCTTGGAGATCTTCTGTCAAAGAGACCTACTTCCTGTATACCCACACCTATATGCCTTTCTGTTCTGCCATCTCATTTCCTCTCTGCCCAGCTACATCACTCCCTCTTTCTGCCCAGTTCTGTCACTTCCTGTCTGTCTGTACAGACCTCCAGACCTTTAAGATTAACTAGTGTTGGAATTTAAGGTATGTACCACCACGCCCGGCTCTGTTCCCAGTGTGGCCTTGAACTCACAGAGATCCAGACAGATCCCTGCCTCCCGAATGGTAGGATTAAAGGTGTGTGCTACCAATGCCTGACTTCTATGTTTACTGTAGTGGCTGGCTTTTTCCTCTGATCCTCAGATAAACTTTATTGGGGACACAGATAAAATATCACCACAGATGGGGACTAATACAGAAAACCACAACCAATCAAAATGCAGAATTATGGAGCCTAGACCCAATGGGTACATCTACTAAACACTCTTTGAACCTAAGGCTTAGGAAACATTGTGAAAGAGGAAGCAGAGGATCAGGAAGTTTGCTGTGAGGTTGTGTCTCACATCAATTGGTTGTCCAGTGCCAAATGATCAGCCCTAAAAACATACATACAAGCAATATTATATGGACTAAACAGCTTACATTTAGGAATATATATGTATATACAAATATGCATGCAATAACAGTAGAAAAGGAGGCCATAAATTTGAAGGAGAGTGGGAGTAGGTATATGGGATGGTTTGGAGGGAGGAAAGGGAAGTTGTAATTATATTATAATCTCAAAAATAAAATTAAAAAGAAAACAAAAGTCATTGAAGTATACACTTTATAGTACATACTCTAGTGTTCTCCGTCCTCCTCATTTCCCTCTGTGAACACATTATTGATGGCGGTTTCTGCTTCAGATACATTAGACGCCCCATGGACAGCGTTTCTCAAAATATCTATTCCATATCTGGCTCGGAGGGAATCTGGGGAGAGTAGTTTTGCTTCTTCTGGGTCTACTGGACCCATCATTCGTCTCCATTCTGCAACAGCATTCCACTTGGTCAGAACCATGATTACAGACATGCCCCTGCAAATAACAATTCTTTTAGAAGGCCAGCTCCTTCAAGGATTGAACACAGGGCTAAGGAAAAAATGCTTCTGGTCCATCCAGAACATTTTTTTCCTAACAATATGATTCTGTGCTTCCTATGTTTTCTCCTTTTTCAAGAAGTTTTGTGTTATTTGAGTGCTGTAGTTTAATTCTAAAGAATGAATGTGAATGGATTTATAGTTTTACTACTTTGGGGACCACACAAACATTGTCATGGATCCAGGACTTTTGCTTCATGTTCCCCCTTCAGCCTCTAGTTCTTTAGGGGTTGCCTCCATTGCAGAAAAGCATCTTGCACAGACCACCCTCCTTCCCTAGATGTCCTGGTGCAAAGATGTCTTACCTCAGCTCAATGCAAAGCCACCTGTATGGCTAGTCTAATTGGTCAGCAGAAACTTTGGTCATCTGTAGAGCACTCTGAGCTCTCCCTCCTGCCCTTCTGCCTCTCTTTCCTGCCTCATCCTCACACAATCCTCTAAATACATAGCCTGAATCATGAACTCTCCCCAGGAAATGTAACCTACAACAAATGCATCTGGAGCGTTACTTTCATAGTGTTCATGGTGCAGGTTCTCAGTCATTTTCCCTTCCTGTGAAGTGGTTTCCTCTTCATTTTACAGAAAAGGAGATTTAAGCATAGTTATGAATTGGCTAATGAAGAACCTAAACCCTGACAGCCTCTACATGTAGTGTGAAGAACTAAAGAACAGGAGGAGGGAGGGACAGAAAGGAAAGGAAGAAGGGAAGAAATTGTAAAAATAAATAAACTTTAAAAGTTAACAAGGTGTCTTTTCATGAGGCAGATTAGACAGAAAGTTGTTAAAAAATAATTTGTGTTTCCCACAGTTTCTAGAGTGTACAATTACCACTTCTACAATACAAACAACCACATTTCAGAAACTTACCAAGATAAGACTTCTAAGACATTTTTATAAAAGTCTTTTCCTGTTATTTTGAAATAAACTTTGTTTGCATGCTCTGGAGTCAAGTGCATTTCCTTCAGCATGGTCAACTCAAATTCTGCCTCTTTAATGGCCTTCAGGATCTCCACTAAGGAAACAAACATTAGTTAACATTGTAGATCATTCACTCCATGTTCATGGTATATTCAAGATCAAAATACCAGAGGAAAATAATAATTCAACTTGCATCTTGTAGTTTATATATATACAAAATTGTGTTCAATTAAAAGCACCAAATTAACAGCCAGAAGACCTTCAGAATTTTAGCATGAATGTCTTGCTTTGATCAACTGATGTAGAATCAAAGGGAAAAGGAGATTTGCTGGCATGCTGCTAAGCATGAAGAGATATTTTCATCCTTAGGTCCCAAATGCCCAAGAATGTCTTACATGATCTGTACTGGGGAATAGCCAAGGTGAAAATTCTTGTCTGAAGTGGAAAGGTGTGCTGAGTGCATTAATAGACTGAATCCTGCAAGAATCTCATCAACAGCCTGAGCATTGAAGTCACATTGCATTCTCCAGACCAAGGGGAACCAACCAAAAGACTTGGAGCTTTCTAGTAAAGGAAGAAGGGTGCGGAAAGACAGGATTCAGGAGAAAGAGGGAAGGGGAAGGGAAAGAAAGACACAGCTGAAGGAAGTGTACTTGACTCCAGAGCATGCAAAGGAAATAGGAAAAAAAGGATTTATTTTATTTACTCCAAATAAAAAACACTCAGAGATGCTGGGCTGGGAGGAAAGGTGAGTGAGATCTAATCTATAGAAAACCTGAAGAATGCTGGGCTTTTCTTGCTGGCAAGGAGATAGCTAGGATCTACCTCAGGAGACCCTCTGAGAAGAAATGTGAGATTCCAAAGCATACAACAGAAATGGGCCAATCTTATAAGTTTATCATAAGAAAATGATATTATAAAGAGTCATGTGTATGGTGCTAAGCCACAGTCCAAGAAACAATTATCTCTGGACTCTCAGGGATTCTTAGTTTTAGAACTGTCGATTTTTGTGATAGGCCTGAACAGAGCAAGCTACTATCACAAAGCAGTGTGTCTTAGTTGGTATCTCTACTGCTACGGTAAAACACCACGATTGTAAACAACTTGGGGAGGAAAGGGGTTACTTCATCTTGTACTTCCACATCACAGTCTATCACTGAAAGAAGTTAGGGCAGGAATTCAAGAGGCATAAAATGAAGCAGAAACCATGATGATGTGCTTCTTACTGGCCTGCTCCCCATGGCTTGCTCAGTCTTGTTACAGTTCTTACAAAACTTAGGACCATCTTCCCAGGAGTGGCACTTCCCACAACAAGTTAGGCCCTCCCATGTCAATCATCAATCATCAATCAAGAAAATGTCCTCCAGATTTGTTTGCAGTCCAATCCATTGAGGTTACTTTTCTCAATTCAGGTTCTTTATTCTTAAATGAATCTAGCTTGTTCAAGTTGAGAACACATGTCAGTACAATTAACCACTTGCCAACTTGACCCACAAACACATCACTATCCAACCACAACCTTCCTGGTCCACAAACACATCACAATCCAACTAACACATCACTATCCAACCACAACTTTCCTGGTTCCTTCTGTCCTCCAGATATCATGTTAACATTAATATCACAATGTCAAACATCACAACTCTTAAAACACCCGGTCTTCAAAAACTCAGTCTTTAAAAAGCATCCAGAGTCCCAGACTTCAAACCTCTCTAAAATATCCTGTCTCTCTAAGACTTTAAAGTCTCTCTAAACTCCAAAGTCTCTTTAAAAGTTCAAAGTCAACTGTGAGCACCTGTCAAAATAAAAAACATGAGGTAAATACTTTCTTACTCCAAAAGGGAAGCATCTATTCAGTCACAGTCAAATCAAAGCAAAACAAAGTTTCAAGGTGTGGAAGTCTCAGTGTTTGATGCCTAAGACCTATTCACAATCCTCTGGGATCTAAAGAGACCCATGCCTTCAAATTTGCTGTTTGCAGCACAGGACAGCTTGTCTCGTAGGCTCAGACCCACCCCACACCAAACATGCTGCTGTCCTTGGTGGTTGTCCCATGGTACTGTCATCTCCAGAATCCTGAGGTCTCTGCAGCAACTGAGCTTCACCTTCACCAATAGCTTCTGGGCTCTTTCAGGGACTCTGACCTTGCCACGTGGTGCCAAACCTCAACTTCTCTCGGTCATCCCTTTAATCCTCAGGCTTCTACTACAACTGAGGCTGCACTTCACTAGTGGACTCTCACTATGTCCAGCCGCAACTCTTCTTCATGACTCCTTTCATGCCTTCAAAATCAGTAATACCTGGGAGACTCTTATACATTACCAAGTTCAGCTGCCAATACAAGTTTCAGTCTTGGCCACCATTGGATCATGACCCTGCAGAAACACCTCTCAGAAGATTTTACCTCAGCGATACTGGTCTCTTCTTAATCACTGCTAATTTCGTAGCACCAGCTAACTAGCACTAGTTGTCCCAGTAAAGCAAAGGTTTTACTTTAGTGGTATCGGTCTCTAATCAATTACAGATGATGCTTCAGCTACAGCTGACCAGACACCACTGATTCTTAACAAAATATCATACAAACAGTCACAGCATGGTCTTTGCTTTCCCCTGACACTTCACAGGCCAGACCTCCGTCATCCACATTGCTCTCAACATTCTTATCTGCCAAGATGCCACAGAATGGACCATTAAGCTCTGACCTCTTGATCGTTTCTCCAGCCCAAAGTTCTAAGGACCTTTCACAATCCTCCCCCAAATATGGTGGGTTCTGTCAAACCAATAGTCCATTCTCTGGTACCAATTTCTGTCTTAGTTAGGGTTGATTTTACTGTTATAAAAACACATTAAGACACAGCCAGTCCCCAGGAACCTCCAACCCTCTCTACCCCAGTTGCTGACCAGCAGGGAAAACTCCTGTGACCAGGTTCCGCCACCAAACCCCCCCATCAGACCCTGCAATCTACAAGACCCATGCCCTACCCCAATACTCATCTATCTGAAACCCCAGTAACTTCCTGAGACAAGAAATCCACCAGCTCTCATTGGACCAAGAGGTGAGTGACTCCTCTCCCACCCAGAAAGTTCTTCCTGTAGGACCCAGGCCCTGGGACACAGCCAGTCCCCAAGAACCCCCACCCCTGTCTGCCCCAGGTGTTGGCCAGCAGGGAAAACTCCTGTGACCAGGTTCCCCCACCAAAACCTCTCATTGGACCCTGCAATCTACAAGACCCATTCCCTACCCCAATATCCATCTGCCTGAGACCCCAGTAACTTCTTGAGACAAGGAATTCACCACCTCTCATTGGACCAAGAGTGGCTTCCTGAGACACAGAATCTGCCGGCTCTAGCTAGACCAAGAGAGGCTTCCCGAGACACAGAATCCATCAACTCTGACTGGACCAAAAGCCCTGATAAGACCAAGAGTGGCTCCCTGAGTCACAGAATCAGCTAGCTTGAATTGAGCCAAAAGCAGCTCCCTGAAAATACAGAATCTGCCAGCTCCAGTTAGACCAGGAGCTAAGATTGGACCCAGAGGGGCCCACTGAGACACAGACACAACAAGCACAGAGTGAACCAATAGCAGCTTGCTCAGACACAGACACCTCTTGCACCTATTAGAGGAAGAGATGAGCAGATATCAGTGCAAAAATACATACAACAACATAAAGAGCAATATGGTATCACTAAAACCTAGTGGTTCTACAACAGCAAGACCTGAACATCACAATATAGAAGAAGCAGAAGAAAGCAACCTTAAAAATAGCTTCATGGAGGTGTTAGAGGCTGTCGGGAGCCATCCCCAGTGGTGGATGGGTCCTATAGAGGATGTAAGGAGTCAGCAGGAGAAGGAAGCGAGCCAGGCCATGGTGGTCAAGAGAATCTTGCAGCCTCACTGACTAGCAGCCAGTGTTTTTGTTTTGTTTTGTTTTTATACAGGATTTAGTTAGCAGGGATACATTCATGATGTTCCAAAACATAGATCATATCATTTTTGGTTTTGGACAAGTGTTTCACTTCCTTTTGCTCATCTTTTTGTCATCATTAATAAACTATAACAGAACAGAGTTATCATTTCCAATCATTTCCCCTCAAGTTTTGACATCATTAATAAACAGAGTTATCATTCTTACTCATTAACCCCATGACCCAATACAAGAATCAATGAAACAAAAAAGTTGGTTCTTTGAGAAAATCAACAAGATAGACAAGCCCTTATCCAGACTAACCAAAAGGCAGAGAGAGAGAGCATCCAAATTAACAAAATAAGAAATAAAAGGGGAGATATAACAACTGACAATGAGGAAATCCAGAGAATCATCAGGTCATACTTCAAAAACCTGTAATCCACAAAATTGGAAAATCTAAAAGAAATGGACAATTTTCTGGATAGGTGCCACACACCAAAGTTAAATCAAGACCAGATAAACAATTTAAATAGACCAGTAATTCCTAAGGAAATAGAAACAGTCATTAAAAGTCTCCCAACCAAAAAAACCCAGGACCAGACAATTTCAGTGCAGAATTCTACCAAATTTTCAAAGAAGAGTTACTACCAATACTCTTCAAACTCTTCTACACAATACAAACAGAAAGAACGTTACCAAACTTCTTTCATGAGGCTACAGTTACTGTGATTCCCAAGCCACATAAAGATGCAACAAAGAAAGAATTATAGACCAATCTCCCTCATGAACATTGATGCAAAAATACTCAATAAAATACTGGCAAACTGACTCCAAGAACACATCAAAAACATTATCCACCATGATCAAGTAGGCTTCATCCTAGAGATGCAAGGATGTTTCAATATACAAAAGTCTGTCAATGTAATATACCATATAAACAAACTGAAAGAAAACAACCACATTATCATTTCATTAGATGCTGAAAAGGCCTTTGACAAAATCCAACACCCCTTCATGTTAAAGGTCTTGAGGAGATCTGGAATACAGAGAGCATAACTAAACATAATAAAGGCAATTTACAGCAAGCCAACAGCCAACATCAAATTAAATGAAGAGAAACTCAAAGCGATTCCACTAAAATCAGGAACAAGACAGGCTGTCTGCCCTCCCCATATTTATTCAATATACTTGAAGTTCTAGCTAGAGCAATAAGACAACAAAAGGAGATCAATAGGATACAAATTGGAAAAAAAGAAGGCAAACTTTCACTATTTGCAGATGATATGATAGTTTACATAAGTGACCCCAAAAATTCTACCAGGGAACTACTATAGCTAATAAACACCCTCAGTAATGTGGCAGGATATAAGATTAACTCAAAAAATTCAGTAGCCCTCCTATATACAAATGATAAATGGGCTGAGAAAGAAATAAGAGAATCATCAATCTTTATAATAGCCACAAATAATATAAAATACCTTGGGGTAACTCTAACTAAGCAAATGAAACATCTGTATGACAAGAACTTTAAGTCTCTGAAGAAAGAAATTGAAGAAGATATCAGAAAATGGAAAGATCTCCCATGCTCATGGATAGGCAGGATTAACATAGTAAAAATAGCAATCTTACAAAAAGCAATCTACAGATTCAATGCAATCCCCATCAAAATCTCAACACAATTCTTCACAGACCTGGAAAGTATAATACTCAACTTCATTTGAAAAAACAGAAAACCCAGGATAGCTAAAAGAATATTGTACAATAAAGCCACCTCTGGAGGCATCACCATCGCTGACATCAAGCTCTACTGTAGAGCTATAGTAATAAAAAACAGCTTGGTATTGGCATAAAAACAGACATGTGGACCAATGGAATCAAATTGAAGACCCTGACATTAACCCACATACCTATGAACACCTGATTTTCAACTAAGAAGCCAAAACTATACAATGAAAAAAATAAATCATCTTCAACAAATGGTGCTGGTATGACTGGATATCAGCATGAAGAAGATTGTAAATAGATCCATATCTATCCCCATGCACAAAACTCAAATCCAAGTGGATCAAAGACCTCCATATAAAATGAGTTACATTGAACCTAATAGAATAGAAAGTAGGAAATAGTCTTGAATGCACTGGCACAGGAGACCACTTCTTAATTATAACAACAGTAGCACAGACACTCAGAACAACAATTAATAAATGGGGCCTCCTGAAACTGAGAAGATTCTGTAAGGCAAGTGACACAGTAAATAAGACAAAATGACAGCCTACAGAATGGGAAAATATTTTCACCAACCCCACATCTGACAAGGGCTGATCTCCAAAATATATAAAGAACTCAAGAAACTAGACATCAAAATAACAAACAACCCAATTAAAAAATGGGCTTTAGAGTTAAACAGAGAATTCTCAAAGGAAGAATTTCAAATGGCCAAAAGACATTTAAGGAATTGCTCAGCATCCTTAATTATCAGGGAGATGAAAATCAAAACGACACTGAGATACCATCTTACACCTATCAGAATGGATAAGATAAAAAACAATGATGACAGCTTATGTTGGAGAGGATGTGGAGAAGGAGGAACACTCCTCCACTGTTGGTGGGAGTGCAAACTGGTACAACCACTTTGGAAATTAGTATGGTGGCTTCTCAGAAAATTGGGAATCAATCTGTCTCAAGACCCAGCTATACCACCCTTGGGCATATACCCAAGGAATTCTCAATCATACCACAAGGATACATGCTCAACTATGTTCATAGCAGCATTATTCTTAATAGCCAGCACCTGGAAACAGCCTAGATGCCCCTCAACTGAAGAATGGATTAAGAAAATGTGGTACATATATACAATGGAGTCCTACTCAGCATAGAAAAACAATGACACCATGAAATTTGCAAGCAAATGGATGGAACTAGAAAGTATCATCCTGAGTGAGGTAACTGAGACTTAGAAGGAAAAACATGGTATGTACCCACTCATAAGTGGATACTAGTTATAAAGCAAAGGATAACCAGACAACAACCAACAACTCCAGAGAAGCTAGCTAACAGGGAAGACCCAAAGAGGGATGCATGGACTTCTCTGGGAAGGTGAAATAGATGAGCTCTCCTGAGTAAACTGGGGATGTGGGGAGGTCAATGGAGGGTAGGGGATAGGGGATGAGAACATAAGGGAATGGGATGGTTGAGCTGGAACAGGGAGGGAGGGGGAAAGCAATGAAAGAAATACCATGATAGAGAGAGACATCATGGGGATAGAGAGAAACCTGGTGCTAGGGAAGTAGCCAGGAATCCCCAAGGATGACCCAGCTTGGACTACTAGAAATAGTGGAGAGGGTGCCTGAACTGAACTGGCTTGCCCCAGAGATCAGACCAGTGAATACCCTGTCATTACAGAGCTTTTTTCCAATGACTGATGGAAGCAGAAGCAGAGATCCACAGCCAGATACTAGACAGAGCTCCAGGAGTCCAGTCAAAGAGAGAGAAGAGGGATTCTATGAGCAAGTGCATCAGGATCATGATGGGAAACACGCAGGAAACACCAAGCCAAACTATTGGGAACTCACAAAAGTTGGATCAATGGCTGTGGAGCCTGAATGGGACTGGACTAGGCCCTCTGCATGGCCTAGGCTGTTGTGTAGCTTGACCTGCTTGGGAGGCCCCCTGGCGGTAGGATCAGAATCAATCTCTAGTGCATGAGCAGGCTTTTTGGAGCCCACTACCTATGATGGGACACCTCGTGCAGCCTTGAAGCAGGGGGAAGGGCTTGGACTTGCCTCTACTGAATGTGCCTTCCCATGGGAGGCCATCCCTTCTTGTGGGTGGAAATGGGGAGTGGGCTGGGAGGGGGAGGAGGGAAGAGGGGGATCTTTGATTGGTGTGTAAAATGATTGAAAGAATTTTCTTATAAAAAAACAAAAAAACACAATGATTGAAAATAACTTGGGGGTGAAAAGATTTATTTCATCATATACTTTCTGCATCACAGTCCATCATTGAAGGAAGTTAGGGCAGGGACTCAAGAGGCAGGTTTGAAGTAGAAGCCCTAGAAGAACATTGTTTACTCACTTGTTCCCAATAGCTGACTCATCCTCTTTCTTATGCAATCCATAACCCTCTGCCTAGAGGTGGCAACACTCACAGTGAACTAGTCCCACTTACCTCAATACTTAATCAAGAAAGTGGCTCTTCGTGCATGAGCCATCTTTCCTGGCCTAGTTCCAGACCCACAGCCCAAGAACCACCTTTCCTAGTTAAGTCCTTGAGCCCTCTTTGTGCCAGGGCCACCTTACCTGGTAAAATCCCTTCTTCCCATTAGCACCCCTCAAACCCTCTGCCATCTGCAAACCAACAATCCTAGTTCCAGACCTGTGTCTTTGAAGCCTTTTTATATGTGAAACCCCTTTGCCTGGCCTAGCTCTACAGCCATGGTTTGGGAGCCAGCTTTCCTGATCCAGTTAAATAGCTCATCAACCGGCTTTACCTGGCCTAACTCTGGTCACACATCTCCTGTACTGGTCCAATCTAAGGAAAGCTAGACTATCATATCAGATACACAACCAAAGAAAGAATTCCACGTGCCTGGGTTAGATCACAAAAACAACACAAATGGCCAAAACAGTATGTCCCCCATCAGACCCACTAGTCCTGCAGAAGAACACAGGAGGCAGAATTTAAAAGAACAATCATAAACTTCACCAAATAACGTAATGAATTTAAAGAAGATATGAATAAACACTTCAATTAAGTCTATATTGATAAGAATGAGTACTTGAGTAATGTCCAAGAAAATATAAATACACAACTGAATGAAAGAATAGAGATAAGTCAGGATTTGAAGACTGAATTCAATAAAGAAAAACATTGAAAGGAACACAAGCCAAAATAACAATAAAATTGAAAAACTTAATATCTCAATTAGAAAATTAAGGGGGAAAAGCTTCTTGTAGAATAAACCAAGTAGAAGATAAAATGTCAAGACTTGATGATATAGTAGATGCTTACATCTTTGTTCTTGAGTCACGTGAGGCTTGATCAATGCCAGTGTGGCCTGAGGAGGGAAGAACTCCTCTATTTCTTTCTCTGCTGCCACCTTTGAACTGCTTCCATAGAACTGGTTGATAGGAAAATTTCCTGTGGCAAACTGTACACAGAGGCTTTGAAAAAGAGGCCAAGTCAAAAATTGAATGTAATATAGCAATCTAATGTAATAGAACACTACTCATTTAATTTGCTTTAAAAAATATCATGCAACAGATCTCATTCCATATCTAGGTACTGTGCAAAAGGAAGTAATTAGTCAGTGACTTGGACGTACTATATCCTTTCAGGGAGGTAGCAGACATTAGAAAGGAAATACATAAACATTTAAATCCCATTGTTAATGGGTATTACCAAGGAAAACTAGAAGAACAGGACCCCTGAAGTGAAAAGAGACCTAGACTAGAATCCTGGCTAGCTACATGACCTCACTTGGTAAAATTTAAGTTCTCTGTATAGTGGTGTTAAGGTTAATCTTGGTTTTTCTCATCAAAATTTCAAAACTCTTAGGATCAACTAAAGACATTGCAGCTATGACTACAGCTTTAATAAGGGTCATTTGTCACAAGCTGTGGTTATGGTAGATATTTCTTTCAGTAAGTGAGATGAACCATTAGCTGGGTTCTTAGTTTCCAGGCCCACATCAAACATCCCACCTTCTCTTGCAAAACTATAGTTATTTTCGAGCTTACATTAAACCAGGTCTGTACAATAAGAAGTCAATTACTCCACCAGATACAGGAGCTTTCATGAGCAGCCCTCTCAAACTAACACTGCACTTCCTGTATCTTAGATTTGAAGAGAAATTAAACTGCATTGCATGAAAAAGATTTGGGAGCCATGGTGTGAGCAATACCTCTCTGGATCAGATGCATAAGCTTCCTCAACAGTTTTTGGTCCCATTAACTGTTTCCAATGTTCCACACTGTTTTCCCTCAATAGAACAAGGGCATAAGATGGACTGCTGTTAGAAAAAAAAGAAAAACCAAAGGTTAATGAAAGAATGTCTCAGTAGCTAATGACATACAGAGAACACAAGTGTGAGTGTTGTTAAACTGACTGCAGCATGTCAAACAATCTATAAGGAGTCCAACATTAACATATGTTGGAATCCACACAAAAGCATACTTACATGAACTGGGAAGAAAGACAGGAGAGGGAAGGGTAGGACCCCAGTTCTTTAGAATGGTTTCTTCCAGGCTGTCATGCTCTGGTTGGTTGATGTAACCCTGCTGGGTCTTTGCTTCAGCTGCATTTCAGTTACTCCTCTAGAAACCAGGCAACTTTCTAGCATCTCATTTCTTCTCCAGGATGTATGATATTGAAGGTTATCAAAGCCCCCAAAAGAGTAATTAGACTGCCCAAAGAGTCAAACAGTTCTCAGTTTGGACTTGGCAATGCTGTCCACTCTGGAATTCTGCATCCAACTCAACTGGAAACTGATATGTGTCTGTGTCCATGGGACTTATTATTTACCCTAACAATGTTCCAGGAATGGAGAGGAAACAGATATTTAAGCAGAGAATGAGTACAGTAACAAGACTGACAAAGACATAGACCAGAAACTTGTTTACAGAATTTAGAAGTATGCCAAATCAATAAAAAGGTAGCTTAAGAAAAGGTTGAAATGAGTAGAAATAGATCACAACTCTTTCTAACTCTGAACATTGCTTTACCTGCACGTGAATGCTATAAGTTTGTTAAAATACTCTTCGTTCTCATAGTTCTTGCACACTGTTCTGGCTTCTTCCTCTGATAATGACATTTGTCTCTGCAACAGTATGGTGAACCCTTCATTCTGAATAATGTTCAAAACGTTATCTAAATAAAAACAGGCATGACAAAGTAAGTTTCAAACTCGCAGATCCCTCGCTATAAACACAACTCATGGCGCAGCATTGTGAGGTGTCTTGTGTGTCTAATTACCTTGGGAAATGTAAAAGTTTACAAAAACAGCTTCTTAGGTTTCAAGATGAATGACACTATTGTTTTCCTTTGGTTTTTCAAGACAGGAATTCTCTGTATAATAGCCCTGGCTGTCTTGGAACACACTTTGTAGACCAGGCTGGCCTCGAACTCACAGAGATCTGCCTGCCTCTTCCTCCCAAGTGCTAGGATTAAAGGTGTGTGTCACTACTGCCTGGCAGAATGGCATTTCTTAATATATCAGTTATAATGTTGCTTCAAATTTTCCTAGCACATAGTAGTTACTCACAAATACTTACACAAAGAAGCCTCAGGAAGTAATTTCTTTTGCTTCACATGTATCATATATATGCAGATATGTGGTGACTTGAGTGAAAATGGCCTCCATAGGTTCATATACTTAAATGTTTGGTCCTAAGTTTGTGGAACAGTTTGTGAAGGTTTAGGAGCTGTGTCCTTGTTGGAGGAGGTGTGTGTTTTGAGGTTTAAAAGTACATGCCATTGCCAGTTAGTTCTCTCTCTGCCTCCAACTTGAGGATTAAATGTAAGCTCTTAGGGATTGCTCTAAGACCATACTTGCCATCATAAGACATGATGCTGGGATCTGTAGACACCACTGGATAAACCAAAAATACAATGCTTAACTCAGAGCCCAATCGGTATTATGCCTGCTTGATTAATTTTTACAATCAGATTCAAAGAGTATCAAACTAAGGAAGGCACACACAAGAACAGCCAACTACCACTCCAGGTAAGCATAGTTTCATTAGTTGCAATAGCATGATGGATTGCCACTATCAACTGCCAATCATATAAACCTAAAAAGGATCAAAAATTGAGACTAGAATCAAACCAAGGACCAGAAGAGTAGGATGTCTGAGAAATAGTTTCAATTTTCTTTCCCCACTTTATCACCATCCCAGCAACTTTAAGCAGCACTAAGGTCCCTGAGCCATGACAGCAATCTGTTACTATCTTAGCTTCTATTGAAATTCATAAAGGAAAGAAAACCGACTTTGTTTAAGCAAAAACATTTTATATACTCTTCAAAAAGATGAGCTTTCTAGCACTGACTAGAGTATATTTGCTTTCTTTAGAAAAATGGAAAGAATGTATCAGTTGTCCAGTAATGGGAGTCAGGAGCTGAAATGCAGTCCAAACCAAGGTATCTGATGTGGCAGAGAAATCATGTTAAACACTGTTGAGAGAGAGAGGGAGGGAGGGAGGGAGGGAGGGAGGGAGAGAGAGAGAGAGAGAGAGAGAGAGAGAGAGAGAGAGAGAGAGAGAGAGAGAGAGAGAGAGAGATTTGAATTTGGGGCGCCTAGGAGACCTGGCAGAGCACACATGGAAGGAGGAAGGAGTCGGAAAGTTGAGAAGCTTTCAGACACAATGAACAATCTGTTGAGGAGGTGTCAATGCAGGGGAGCAAAGAAGCAAGGACCAGCTAAGAGTGCTAAGATCCCATGGAGGTTTTTGCATTTGTGAGTGTGTCACTGAATTATGTTTATTGACGTGTTGGACTATATCCCTGTAGTAACTAGGAAGCTTCACTCTTGGGGGAGAAAGCAATGTTGGAAGAGAACAAGGGGCATCTGCAGATGGACACTCTGTGATAAGCAGAGATGGCATACATGGAATAAGAAAGGGCTAGGGATCTGCAGGGTCATATACAGCCAAGAGTTATCTCTTTTAGACAAGGGTGATGCTTTTTCATTTATATAGTAATAAGGCATAAATAAACGAAAACTCCCTCAGCTTTCTACCACTAGCACTATTCAGATCTGCAGGTCTTGAGAATCTCTTTCTCTTACTGCAGAGGAAATAAGGTCTTCTCTCCAAGACTAATCCTCACACCTCTGCTACAGAAGTCATTTCTGCTTGGATCTATTCATCGTCAGTCCTTCAGTTAATTTAGTCACACGGCACAATTCAAATACAAAAGACTCAAAAGTGTAGCTCTAAGATGGATGATATGATGGGGAGCAAGTGATCCTGGTGACACATGCCACAGTTCTAACCTCACAGCATTAATCTTCTCAGAATAGTCCTACTACCTAGAAGAGTATTATTGGCCAAATACCAAGCTGCTGAGTGTGTCTTGAACATATGCATATTTTATTGCTTTTCCATAATCAAACCATAAGAATAATTTACATAGCATTTACACTGCATTACATATTGCAAGTCATATAGAGATCATCTGATATACACAGTGGCATGGATGTACATCACAAGCAAAGGGTACCCCACTATGTATGGGGTTGAATATCCTGGGATTGAGCATTCAGAGCCACTCTGTAGCCAAGCCCTGAAAGCACTAAGGGAGGAGTGACCTCAGGAAATAACATTTAACCACTGCCTGAGCAAAACAAATAAATAAATGAGGTGGACTTCTGAGTGTTGAATTGTGTGGTATGAAGATCACATCATATCTTTAAAAAGATACTCTAAAATATATTCAGGCTACATTTAGTGCTGCCTTGATTTTTGTTAAATTATATTTTTTGAGGTTATTGAATAATTACATTTCCTTGTTTAGGGTTTGGGGGAGGTATTTTTGGTTGGTTGGGTATTTTGATTTGTTGTTGTTGTTTAGAGAGAAAGCAAAAGAAAATGAAGTTGGATGAGGAGGGAGGTAGGGATGATCTGGGAAAGGTTGGGGGAAAGGAAAGCATATGATCAAAATACATGTGTGAAAAAAATTAAGCCAATAAAAATTAAAACCTCAAAGAAAATGAAATACTTAGGTGATTTTTCTGGGTTTATGTTGTCTTCTGTCTTTCAGATGAAATCTAACAATTGAACATCAAAGGTCAAGACAAAACCAAAACCAAATGCACTGGAGACAGTACTGGGACTGACTATCAGGACCAAAGTGAGGTCTACTTAGGCTTTGGGAATGAACAACTCTTTCCTCACAAGTTCTGTCAGATGAAAACCTAAAATCACACTATGTTTCGGTGGAGTGTTCAATATGCATACACATAATACTGGTGGGAACAGACAAAAAGCCTTTGAAAATGACATGCTTGCTTTTAGCGTTATTCCATCTCAAGTAAGAAAATATAAACTGTTGGTCATTTTACTATTGTTTTATATGTAATCTGTAGACCAATCACTAAAAGAAATATATAAATTATACATACATTTTTATGGTTAAATTAACACGAGTCACTTAAAAAGCATGCAAATTTTAAAAGAAAGGAGGAAGGAGGAAACAGAGAATTCCAAATTGATAACGACATTTAATTTAAATACCATAAACACAGCAATTAAAAGACAGATGCTCAGACTTAATTTGGTTCTAGGACTATATTCTGTGCTAATTACTGGTAAAGAGACCACATGATAATGGAAATGGTTGACAAGCTTAGGTACAAAATGTAGAGAAGGAGCTGAGATGTCTTCAAGGAAATAAAAAGAAACAACAACAACAAAAAAATGCTGCTACCATTTATGTTACTGTACTTGCCCCTGCCACTCCCATCCTTAAGGGACTCTTCCTCAGATCCTCAGCTGTGCCACTCTCCTCCAAGCATGACATGGCCATTACTGTCTCAGAATCAGAGCACTGTGGTCACCATTAAGGCTGGAATAGGGGAAGTCTCATAAAGCTCCGGAGACCCAGGAGGTCCACAAGATACAAGATCCCGCTCTTAACAGGTTCTATTACAAATAGTTAACAAATTCGGGGAAGGGAGATTCTACCTTGGTATAGACACACATGCGTTGCCTCTTCTCCTGTAACTAATGTCAATAAAAGCCACTGATGCACCAAGTTAGACTTGGGTGTAATCATTTATTCTGTCTGTAATTGGTCTCTTTACTAGGGACAAAGGGAAATAGAATGCTTAGGAGACATCATGCAACACAGGTGTATATCTTAGGTACAGCTTAGGTGTATATCTTAGGTACAGCTGAGCCCTATGTATCATTTCCTACATGTATACAAATAAGAGATTAGCAGATACTAATTATAAAGTAAAACAAATGTTTTAGGGGGAAGTTTCTGAGACAGTTTCACTCTATAGCCCATGCTGGCCTTGAACTCATGATAATCTTCCTGCCTCAGGTTCCAAACTGCTGAGATTTCTTGAGTTAGCTACACCACCCAGCTAAAATAGAACAAAATGTTTAACAATTTATTAACAGTGGTATAAATGTTATTTATAAGTGATTTATCTCTGAATATATCTGTGTGCAATGCTCACTAAAACACTCCAACTGGTATCTGAGATGGCCACTGAAAGACTAGATGGCAGGCAATACTGAAAAACTGAGTGCATCAAAGTATGCCCAAGAGAAAAATCAATCATTGTGAAACACAACCAGAAAATTCCCCAACACAAGTTTTTTACAGGAAACTAGTTTATCATAGACGTATCCAGTCTAGGGAGAGGGCAATCAAGCAGTTGTAGCATATTTTGACCTCCTTGTCTCACATAAGGAAAGATTATGTCTAAGAAAGGCTTTGAATTGTTCAGTCAGGGCACTCAGGTCCAATAGAATCTTAGTTTTCATTAGAAGGTGAACAAGCACTCCTCCTGCCGACTTTAGTAACAGTAAAGAAATCGAAGTAATTTTTAAAAAGGAGGAAGGAAGTCTGAAAAGGAAAAACCAGGCACTGAAGCAAACTGATACACATGTGATTTAGAAGCATCAAAGGATCAGCAGAATTGCTAGTTGGGCCACAAGCCAAGATGAATCAATGAGTTGATGATACATTAATAAGAACGCTCCAAACTGAAATGTGAAACAAATGAAGTAGCAGAGGATAGTGTAGAAGAACGGTTGGACAATTATAAAGTGACCCAAACCCATAATGGCTGTACCAGAAATAAAGAACCAGAAGAAAGAACTAGAACAAAAAAAAAATGAGAAAATTATAATAGCTA